CCATGCAATGTTTCTGTGTAATGCTCGATAAGTAATGATTTGCTGTATCTTTGTCACATTTCCTACATGATAATAATGATTTACATTTTACTTCAATTAACTCCGAAGCTTCAATTGTACCATGGTTGCAAATGTCTCCTTCAACGTGAAACTGTAACGTTCTTGTTATATTCTTCGATTTATGATCACGAAAGTAACATTGAATAAAACTGTCTCGACCAGTATGTAAGTTACCACATACGTGCACACCAAGTATATTGCCATTTCCGTTGGAATCCTTTATCATCTTATTCTGAAAGTGTCTGTGGTATTTGACGTGACCATCAATGAACACCGTTTTGCCTGCTAATTTAAGTGTTTCTGTTTTCAGACGGGCACTTGAAGAGAGTCGAACTTCATGATTACTTTTCAGTGATATATACGGACACACCATTATACTGTGAACAACCATATTTAAGTTACATTCAAGTTCTAGATGTTCACATGTCATGGCTTTTGGTGCAACTGAAATTTTATCTGCAGAAACTCGTAATTTCCTACCTTTTGTCTGACAATCTCTAAATTGTACATGGCATATTGTGTCTTCTAATGAGCAGTGCATGGTAAGGTATGGCTACAAATAAAAAGAAAAACATTGTTTATTAGTGAAAAATAGAGGAGATACATGTATTGTGTTAAGAATAAATAATATTTTTGATACATTACCTGAACGTGATTTCATTCATGTCTTGCTTAATGTAGGTGCAAGCAATTTTTGGAGATGGGTAAATGTATGGTTTTAACACCAAATGAATTATATTGTGAAGATCCTACAATCAAAATTTGAAATTCTAGATTTGAGATTGTAATGATTAAAAAAAAACCCGATGTAAAGGATTTTATTAAACAATGGAAGTTTAACATTTAAGGCATCTTTGTTAAAAAACTGAGTTCTAAAATATTGTTTGTAAATCTACCTCAAACAAAAAGACATATATCACAAGGTTATACACTTGTTTAACTAACTGCAAAAGAGAAAAGACACAGAAGATTCCAGAAGGAAAGTGTCTTTTCTCTATTATGGTAAAGATATTTGAAAGTGGAGTAAACGGAAAGGAGTATGGACATTAAGGCCCGGTATTGGCCAAAGAAAATAAAATGTTTGACGTCAAATATACCTCATAATATGTATTGTTTTCACAGAAAGCATTGAAAAATACAGAGTTTATGCACTTTTCAGTCATAATTTCCATAAAGAAATAACAGCAACAGGTATAAACATCGTGCACAGACAAGAAACATCAAAATAGTATAAGAGAAGCTTTGTTATAACTATTGACGTTATCATAAAGTTGTTTCTTGGGTGCGCAATACTTTTCCAATTTAAAACTTGATCTAAAATTTGATGGAAGACAGGGAAAATCAAGAAAGTTTACGAAATATGCAAATTTTGTCATGGCTTCGTTGCCATGGTATCTCGTTCAATGTGAAATTTGCTATTACTTCCTGAATGCCTTGAACCTTAGTCTGGTTTGGACAAATTTAAGAATATGTTCGATAACTTTTGAATTCACAATAATATTTGATACACAAAAAGCCTTTTGCCCCTTCTTAATCCTCTAAAGTTTAAAATAACTAATCGTGTATTTAAAATAAAGATTGATTGATTAATTGGTGGGTAACACCATTTAGCATAAGTGTGCTTTTTTGGTGGTGATCAGTTTTATTGGCAGAGGAAACCGGAATGCCCAGAGAGAACCAACGACCTTCAGTAGAAAAACTGACCTACTAAAAAAAAGTAGGGCATATCAACAATGCTTTCCAGGACATAATTTTGTACGCAACTTCATAGTAAAACTGGCTATGGGAAGATGCATTTTCTATATTTGCATAAGTGCAACCTGAAAGAAAGGCATTGTAATGCATTAATTTTTTTCTTAAATTATTGCATGAAATATTTCAATTAGAACATACATTTAATATGTAAAGTGACAGACATTTCACATCGGGAACATTAACAAAATTACACGCTGTATATCAATTTCAAAAAACAGATTTGTTCTACCTTATTTGAGTTAGTGAGGCAGTGCCTTCATAAACATTAATTTTGCGATATCATTTGTTTTATCAAAATTGTTAATATTTCTTACTATGTAAGTTCTGGTCAATTTAAATAATAAAAACAAATAGAAGGAAATAATAAGTCACTACTAGGAGGAAAGAATGAATTAACTATTGATAATCTAGTTAACTGTTGGTGACTGCTGTGTCCCAATTGATAAATGTTTTACCTATTATGTCTGTTTGTTTTGTTCACATATTGTTGTCATTATAGTCGAACTTTAGACGGATGTCATACAAGTGAGAGGTGTAGCTAGCTATAAAACCAGATTTAATCCGACATTTTTATATAATGCCTATACCAATTCATGAATATGACAGTTGTTTTCCATTCGTTTTTTTGTGTTTTTGAGCTTTTGATATTGCCATTTGATAAGAGACTTTCCGTTGTGATTTTTCCTTGGAGTTCGGTATTTTTGTACTTTTTTCATAAATTGTTTTAATGATATAGATGATGATTATTTGTTTTTGTTATTCAAAAGAATAATTATGCAATTTGGTCAGAATATGTATATCTTTGGTTTTATAAGTAAATTACAATTCAGGCTAAATCGTCTATGATGTTATTCTATTTATCATTTCTTTAAACAAAGTTGGACAATTAGCGAAATGAGATTTACTTCGTAGAGTAGGTTTCACATACCGTGTTTGCGTTCGGATAATTAATTATAGAATAAAAGAGGAATAGATTTTACATGCATACATGCTTATATTTCAAGACTGTAGTTTTGATATTTATATATTCAATTTTTACTCCAAACAAATAGGAGTTTGTGTATATTTATAACGTTTAACAAGGACCAAAGCTCAAAAAATTGTCATAGCCCCTTTCCCAAGGTATCAGAATGCTATGAGGAAAATATTGATATCCTAAAGACAAAGATCTTCATTACGGTTTTCATAGGTAAACGATATAACATAATATATAAGTAAATTGGAAGATATACCTGAATAAGAGACAACAAACCCCCCCCCCAAAAAAAAAAAAACAAAAAAAAAACAAAAAAGGGGTTTTGAATGAGCTTGAAAGAGTAAGACGTGGACACCAATCATTTTACCATAAGATATTATTACAGATAGCAAACTTATTTAACTCCTCCGCATTCCTCTGGCAGGAGATTGGTAATTCTCCTTGTTTGCTGTCTACTATAAAAAAAAATCGTTTACTAGTAATGCTATAGTATAACCCAGGCTCTGGCATTTTTGTTTTGCTATTGTTAACATTTTGTTATCCCAGCTTATGTTTAACTTATTATACGGTATTATTCCTGCTAATTGTTCTTATCATGGGGCCAGTAACAAGAACATCTCTTAAAGTTCTCGTAAATCAGTGTTTACGATAGCATAAAGAGTGCGCTAAGAATCTTTTAAGAGTATAACCAGACCCATTCTTTGCATGTCCTTTTTTTCTCTTTACATCGTTTAAGAATACCCTTAAGACGGTCTTATTCTAAGCACACTTACTAACTTTCCGCTCTGTCCGTTAACGTTTTCTTTCTTTGATTTAGTCATTGCCAAAAAAAAAATCTCTCGTGCGTTTTGAGGTAATGGGATTTTTCTTAAATATTCTGCTAAATTTATGATCCTGATTGATTAAAAACGTGGGAATATTTAAGAGAAAAAAAGAATATTTCGGCTCAGTGCAAAAGACCGGGTTATCAACCAGAGAATATATCCCCATAACGGGAAAATTTGACATTACCAGTTTATTATCGGTGCATTTTAATTGGGTTTCAATTAATAAATAAAGGAAAGATTTAATTCATTTTCGTTACCCAAAAAAAACGATGTGTTATAGTTTTGGTGGAAATTTGATGATCATTGATATCACATAATTTGAAAAAGGAACAGAATGAATTGGTATGATTGCCTTTGACAGCTATTTGCCACCGTACGGCCTTCAACAATTAGCAAAATCCATACCACATAGTCAGCAATATTAGGCCCCGAAATGAAAAATGCAAAAGAATTAAAAGGAAAAAAAATTACGGCCTGACTTATGAACAACACAATAAACAGAAAAAAATGACAAACAGCAACAAACTACAACCACCGAATAACGGGTTCCTGTCTTAGGACAGTATTATAAGAGGATTTTTAAAATTTTTTTTTCAATTTTAACTGTTCAAATTTTCTACTGATACTTGCATAGATAGTATTATCAATTATACCACAACTTTTAATTTGACATCACAAATGAATTTACTAGCAATGAAACTAGTTTCTTATAGAAGCTTCTACAAGTGTGTTTAAAATCAATAGTTTCAAAAATCAACCATAAAAACGATTTTCAATATTAACATTCGATGTTGAGCGTTCCTGATGAAAGTAATTCCAGAAATGTACTTTGGACGTATACAATTTATAAATTCATATATATCCATGTCTGGGTCGAGTATATACTGCTGCTGGTAGACTATGAATTCGGAAGGAATCATTGGCCAAATAGTCACGATTAGTATTTTGGCAGAGACATGATATATAGCAAAACTGTCGAAAATTATCATTTATTAATTCATATGAAAAAAATCAGAAACTACAGTTTCAATTCCCTAATAAACTGCTGAAGTATTAGTTCAGGTGCCTATTTAGTAATATAGCTGTTCCGGTTCTCCTAAATCATTGGCTTTAAAAAATTCGACTTTAAATTTTCTAAAGAAAATAGATCCAGAAAGTGCTACGAACGCCTGCGATTTATAAGGGTTGTTTTCATTTTCATACCCGAAACAAGAGCTATCAAGAAATGAAACAACGTTCCAAAGTTTGCATGTGAAGTTTTGATCTGATTCATGTAGTTTATATATTATACGAAGAGTTGTAGACCCTCTAACTTAATCATTTTAGACGTTCAATTGTCATCAATATTATTAGAAAAAATAAAAGTATTTTCATACCTTTTTGTTTGAACATCTGTCCTCCAAAGATAACTGAAATACAGCACTTGCTTTTGTGGAACATCTTTTGAAGTGCACAGTGGTTGCATTTGAAAATGTCAATACTTGATGCAATCCAATGTCTTTAACTGGAATGGAGACCTCAAGTATGCCACCAATTTCTCTAAGGTATGTTGTGTTGGTACTGGATAACTCTCTTCGCACATTTATTTCTAATTGTTCCATGATACCTTCGTTTACACGGCTCTAGATTATAAAGACAAAAATAAGATAGTTGAATAGATAACATAACGGTTATTGTTTTAAAAGAAATAACTGTTAGAATATTTTGGTATTTTTTGGAATTAAGGAAATGTCTCCTAAGTGCAAAAATCTGATTAATTGCCCTGGCTTATGCTATACATTTAGTCCATTTTCGTATTTAGCAGGGTGTAAGATCATCTGTTTTTGGACTCGCGCATCACTAAAGAGATATAAATTGTCAAAAGACGAATTTACTGCAGTAAAACTGATTTCGTTAATTATTATAACGAAAAAAACACCATTCATGACACAAATCCATCAAACACTCAACAAAAACAAAACCAAATGGAAAGCGCTGTTATTTCATTTTTTCATTTCAATAAGCAAAAGGTATCATTTCATAAAAACAAAAATCACGACAGTTTGCTATTTAAAAAAGTATAATATGGTCAACTTCACATGACGGCAAATAATATTTTTAAATAAGAGAGATGCATGTCACATGGTCTCATTAAAGTTTGAGCTCTCAGCTTTAATGAAAAACGTTCCACGAATACCACTTTAAAATGAAGATATAATATGGTCATTTACATATGATGACAATCAATAGTCATAATTATTAGAACTTTCTGGCAAATGGTCTCAAAGGAATTACATTCAACATGTGTTGTTATCACAATACTAATAAATACCAGTTGTCAAGTTTCCATAACTCCCCAAAAATGGTCTGACTATAATAACGGTATCATATGATCTACTACACGTAATGGAAAACAACGTTCAAACGTTGAAGAATTGTCATAACCGAAAATATAAAATGGTATAACTAATTGCAGACAAATTATCACTGCTTATTGCAATAGAAACGCAATATTTGAAAAAAATCATACCAGTACCGAATAGCTTTTATACTATTTACTGGAACACCAGGCAATCAGTAGCTATTATAGGATAAATTGCAACAAGTTTACTGCAAAATTTAGTCCAATAATGATTAAAAACAAATTTGCTTATGGTTGATTGTCGTTTCAGTATTTGTCACAGACAATTCAAAAACTGATAACTTTGATGTGTTTGTGCTTTTGATTATGGACTTTCCTTTTTGAATTTTCCTCGGAGTTCAGTATTTTTTGTGGTTTTACTTTTTGTTTACAGAAAACGTGTTTTTTATACAAAAAAACAATTGTTGTTTTTTTTAAAGTCATCAACACCACTAGATATACATTTTGCTGTGTTGGAATCATGATTTTCTAAAATTTATAGGTTCAAAGTTTTTTAATAAAATGTTTATTTGGTTAATCAGTTAAAATAGTAAATTAACCAATGTCCTTGCTAAAGGGTATCCAGAAAAATTTTGTTTTAAAAAAAATGATGAAATGCTTACCATGTCGGTTATCTGAGTCCTTTCGCGATTAGGTAAATATCATAACTTTACTGCATTCGTTATCAAACTATACTTCTATAAAAAATATCACAACATTTTGTTTAATCCTTCCTAAATCGTCCCAGCTGAATATATTTTAATAATTCACTTATCCATAATAACTGTCTATGGGGTCAATTTCACATGGGAAATTTAGCAGACATTATCAATTGAGTACCTGTGTTCTAATTATATAACCTTGTAATATTGAAATAACAAAGACATGTTTTGAAGTACAAGAATTTGCAATATTAATAATACACGAAAGAAAATTTGAAAAATATTTGAAATGAAATATACACAAAAGTTTAAATAATTCTTAGATTGCTAAAACATATTCGGAATTTGCTTTTTAAAAATAAATGCTCCGAAATATGAGGTTTGGTTTAGGTAGTTTTTTTTTAGTTTTTTTCAACCCTCGTTAAACATGTTAAACTCTTCCTTTAGAATAGGATTAAAGTTACCTATATACATATAAGGAAATATGGTATGATTGCCAACGAGACAACTATACACTAAAGACCAAATGACCTAGATGCCATGAGCTATCGGTCACATGTTCAGGAAAGGCCATCAGATACTAGCAAAACCATTCAGTACATATTGGAGATCATTCATGCAAATTTGAAGCGAATCTGCGTAAGTTTCCTTCCAGATACTATTTCCCATTTTGAGATTATGAAACGTATGCTAAATTTTGAAACCTACATCTTTATATGAAGATGATTTGATAAAATGACGAAGGCCCTATCCATGGGACAAGAACTTATGTGAAATATCTTTTACAAAATTTTCTCATGCATCATTGTTTTCATTTCATGCTTTTTTGTTTGTTAACTTGTCTAAGGCTTTTTTCAGTCGAAACTTCCATACAAGTTTAGAAAAGGATTTTTTTTTAGCTTTGCATGAATATCTAAACTATCAATGGTTACAATGTATGGAAGTCTCCTTAAAAATGAAAACACAAGCAAGGCCTAATCAAAGTTCAGACTGATAGATTGACGGGACAGGTTGGGACGAAAATATTTTGCTTATATATTTAAACTTTGTTCCGTGGTATAAATATTTTCTTCTCAAGGGTTGTTGATCGTATAAATGATACCATTTACAAATACAAAAGGACGACAACATTTTATGTTATTGTGTTTCCCCTTTACCAATTTAAATCAAATCATTTGTTGTAATATTTTCAATATATTTTTTTTTATAGAAATCGAGTCAAAATAGACAAAACAAAGTACTCTTACGCAATAACTGTTCCAGATCAAAAAGGTTTAAGTATTTGGATATACAATTGCTATGCACAATAATACAACTATTTCATTTATTATTCATCTATTGGGAATTGATTCAAAATGATTAATTGCAAACAGTTATATTAAAATACCTGACATGTATTCTATTTCAAAGCCTTGAAATGAATATGTTCGTTATTTAAAAAAAAATAGGACAAGTTATTGGAAGCTTTTCTAACTAAGTCTTTCTTTCAAGGTCGATTATAATATTTGATTATTCATACAAGATACCATTTATTTCACCAACAATGAATATACTAACTATTGGCCATAGTAATTTTGTTCAAACTTAAATATTTATTTACAAATCTTCAATCATTATTTGGCATTTTGTCAGTTTCATCTAAGATATCGAATTTAAGTCGACGGAATTCAAAGAGATAAAATTTTAATTGATTGTTTTTGGCACGGACATTAGAAAATACAAGATAATCTTACATAGTTTACGAAGTATGACTTGACGGTCTTTCTACATTTGTTGTTTCAAACTTGGGTAAGTGTTGCCAGAGTGTATTCAAAATATATTTTTGCAATGTTTGATTGATTGGTTACCAATCGTGCCTTTTGATGAAACATCTATGAAGCGTTCTTCAAAACATTAAGGCTTTTACTTAAAATTAGTAGTCCGTGTATTTACTTTATAACTTATTTTAGCCGATATGAAACCCTTAATTTGTACATTATATTTCACTAACTATCAGTTGTTTCGGCTTATACCATATATGCACTATTGCAATCGCTCAGGACTTTATATTTCAAACTCAGAGCTCATTTTTCTTCATTGATCACTGCTTCTAAGGCAGAATAATGTGAAATAACCCATCAAAGATAACAGGCTTCTAATTTTGCTTAACACCAGACGCACGTTTCGTCTGTAAAAGATTCACAACCCATGATTATTTTGCATTGCGTTAAACAGTTTGTTTGCTATGCTCACACCATATACTGTGAATTCATTTATTTTCGAAGGTATCAATTTTCGTGGATTGAGGAAATCTTACATTTTCGTTTATATTTGATTTCGTGGTTGGTCCAAAGTATGTTTAAATTTCTGCAGAACATTGTTAATTCGTTGGTCATTAGAATTCGAGATTCCCGGGAAACCACGAAATCCACGAAAATTGGTATCCAACGAATAATAATAAATCCACAATAAAAAGAAAATGCCGCGTTATATACCTTAAGATAATATCAATCATTTTATTTCACTTAATTTAATTTTTCATAATTGTGTTTAAATTAAGAATCATAAAGGGTTCTGCGCATCAAAGTGTTCCGCCAGCGATTGCTTGTATCAGTACAAAAGTGCACTATTATTTGCCAAAAAAAAAAAACCAAAAACACTGAGCTCTATTCGTTGTTATGAACTTCCCCCCTTTTTAAATATACCTTTGTATTTTTGTAAATATGCTTTCTTGACTTTGAACTAGCATAATATAAATGTCTTCTAATTGATTTAAACACTCCACCAAACTCTTATCGTGCGTACCCCTTGATTTTTTTAAGTGATCACAATTCAATTAAATAGAAAACTGTCATTTGTCCTGTTATTTGCATTGTAAATCTTTTTATTGATGATTTATGCACACATACCTGAATTAGTAATCCGTTAAGGAATCGTTTGCTCCGTTTCATGTTTTTTTTATAAAATCAAAAAATGTGTTGTCAAATTATTCCCTGTAAAAATATAACTCACAACAAATATATAAAACATGAATAATGGTGTCCAGGAACTCAAAAAGAATAAAATATAGTTTTTTGATAGGGTGTTTAATTCTTTGCATGTTCCTTAAGACAACATAATTTAAGCACACAAAGATATGTCGCACAAACATAGAGAAGATCAAGGCTCTCCATTTTTTTTGCATGCTCTTGGAGACCCGGTACCATGTAATTAATAGATGAACTTGTCCACGAGATGTGACTCGTTTTATGGAAAGGAGGAAGGGCTTACTGATTTTCCGAGTAAAAAAGTACATAATTGTTTGATGTTAGATAAAATATAAAATATCTCACCAGTAATGTCTATGAATGTTTCGTGTCTAAACGCTATAATTATTAAAACTATAAATCAATCAAGTATTCAATCGACAATCGATTTATGAATGTGAAATTCGTCAAAGTTTACAGTATGCAACATTTCAATCAATTGATGAGTTTATTTACAACCACTGGGTCGATGCTACTGCTGGTGGTTTTTTTAAAATTCCCGAGGGTATCACATGCTCAGTAGTCAGCACTTCTGAATTTTTGAAATACTATGGTTATTCTACCTCAGGATTACC